CCATCTGATCTACACTCGAAATGCGATTACCACCGTGTGCATGCAACACGCTTGCACTCTCGGCCCATCGCGCGCACGCCTAGCCAGGCTGCAAGGATTTCTTTCACAATCCTCTTCTTCACACCCATCCTCAGAAGAGAGGTGCCAGCAGGCACGACCAGGGCACTAGCCTTTGCCTAAGTAAAATCCAAAATTCTGTGACAGGCAGGCTGGCGGGAGATCTCTCTTTTCTGTGTCCCATACGCTGACACCTTCAGCAAACACATTTTTCCTTGCTCGATTGCTGGAGCTGCCTAGGATATATGCACTGGACATACCCCCCCCCCCCCACGCCCCCTTCGACCATCACACAGATACTCACAGAGATACGAACAATGACTTTGCAAATCCTCCCACTTCTTTTTTCGTTCTCTCTTGCTTTCTCTCTGTGCTTCTCTCACACAAGCAAACACACGCAGAAGCCGTCAACTCTGTCCCCATACTCACAGACCACTCACCAAATGGGTAAGTGGCTTTTGCAAGAATGAAGAAGGGGAGAAACAAAGGCACAATTTCTCAGCCTTCCCCTGCAGAAGCCCTCATTCGTCTTCCTACTCTCTGCCCCCTAAACTTCTCTGCATCTCCCAAACACAGTCCTCTGTTTGATCAGGTGCCTTTGGCTCAGGGGGAGACCTTGGTTAGGCACAGAGAAGGAAGTCTGGACAGAGGAGTGAGGTGGGAGGGCTGGGGTCTCCCCATGACCTGCCTACCCAAAGTGGCGGAAACCCCCTTCTTCCTCAAGTGGCAAGACAAGATGAAGCCCTCTTTGGCATTTAAAGCAAAACAGAATCGTTTCCTTTCTTGTCATTCTCCACTTTTATTTGGGATGGGGGTGGAAGAGGAACGTGGTGGGGGCGATCAATTTAACTGCACCCAGATGCAGCCAGTCAGGGGATTCTCTAGGACCTCATGCCCAGAGGAACTGCAGGGCAACGCAGCCGGATGTGGGGCGCTCCAAAATTTCCAGTCCTTCTGCTCAGGACCCCAAGGCTGGAAAAAAGAGGCTTCACTCCATGCTGGGAAGACTCCCCCACCTGTCTCCCCTAGTCCACTTTCTTGCCACTCCCTCTGGGGTTTCAACCAAGTTGGGGGTGGGGGGAATTCCTTCATCCTCAAAGACAAACAGAAGGATCACACAAATCTGCATACGGGCACACACAGCCCTCCTACGTACACCTAACCCCTTTACCCACATTCTTGCACTGGCAATCCCAACCTGCTCCATGCATGTCCTCCTAGACCCCCAGCCCGGAGTCCTCTGGACCCCAACAGTCACTCCCTCCAAGCTCTCGCACACCTCAGGCTTGCCAAAACAGTGTAAACACTAGCTCTGAGTTCCCAATCACATGTGTGTGTGTGTGTGTGTGTGTGTCCGAAGAGGAGAACGCGGGGGACGTGCAGAGCAGGCAGCGCTGGGTGCTGGGTGCGGAGTATCCGGTGCAGGTCTGGCCTGGGTGGGGGCTGGGGTGGGGGCGGCGGAGAACCAGAGCGCGGCGCGCTGCCTAATCCAGCCCGAGCTCGTGGGCCGCGGGTGCATTTATCATCCCATTACTGTAACAAATCCGGGCTCCACTACATGAAAGGTAAAATGAATTACCGACGTTAAGCCGTCAATAAAGTCATTTCTGTAAATGGTGTCTCCAAAGGGCCGCCGCATTATTCAGCTGGCTTTATCAGCTGGCTGGAAATTACGTGGAGGAGCCGGGCCGCGCGGCGCGCGGGGCCGTTCACTTTGATTAAGCGTCTTGCCAGCGCGATGTGACAGAGCTTTTGACCAGGGTTTTATTCACAGGCCTGTGATGAACGCCAAGCTGATCAGGCGGAATGAAGAGTAATTAAAACCTATAAATTATCTTCCGCGGCCCTTCTCGAGGCGTCTCCTGCAGGCGAGATAAGGCGTCGAGACCCTATTTACGGCGCTGAAAGGGACCGCGGCGCACAAAAGCCACGCGGCTAAATAGGATATTGATAGTGTCCTAATTAGAATTTAATTAAGTACCCACGCTCGCTTGCGGGATAAAGATTTCAATTTTGCGAACTTAAATCTAAATAAAATCCCGCCCCCGTTTCGGGGAGGAAGAATGGGGGCGCCGGGAGGTTTCGGGGAACCCTTGGGTGCAGGACAGGAGCCGGCCCGGGAGGCGCCAGGGTGGGGGATGGAACGTGGCTTGGGAGGCTGCGGGAGACCGGCGTGGCGCAGCCCCGAAGAGCGGAGAGTGGATCGCGGTTCCCGCAGGCTCTAGGGCAGAGCTGAGTAGTCACTCGGAGAGCCGGGGATCAGCTCACCTCGGCGCCCCGAAGATGCAGCCCGCATCCCGAACCCCCGAAGATGCAGCCCGCATCCCGAATGCCAGAAGATGCAGCCCGCATCCCGAATCCCCGAAGATGCAGCCCGCATCCCGAACCCCCGCTCTCTGCTAGCTGCTTTGCGAAACTTTGGCGATCGCGGTCTAGTTTTTTTTTTTTTCTCTTTCTTTCTCCCCTTTCCTCCCCTTGTTGCAATTGTGCTTTATTTTCTTCCTAACCTTCTGTGACTTTTCCGGGCACAGGGGAAATTATTTTGCATGTTTTCACTGGACAGCACTGTGTGCCCCCCCCCAACACACACACCACACACACACACACACACACACACACACACACACACACCTCAAGGGATGCTTTCTCCATCATCATTTTTGCTGGGACTGACCATCAGGGCTAGGGACCCAGCTAGAGCCCTGCGATAGTAACATCCTTCAAGAAAGGCCTCAGTTGCTGCAGACTTCTATCCACTCGTTCTTAACTGCTGATTTCCGCACACAGTGAGATCCTGGCCTCCCAAATGGCTCCACCAAAAGAAGAAGAAAAGTCAGTGCTCAGCGCCTAATCCCTTCACCCCTGCTTTTGAGGGATCTTTGGGGATGTCTTTTGCTGGAGAGGCGCTGGGGGGGGGTGAAGGGGGTCGATCAGGATACAAAAAGGAAAAAAAAGTGTGCAGTAGGCTAGAGACTGATCGGATCCTTGTTGTAAGTGGGAGCGCCCAGCACCCTCCTAGACCTCCAAAGCCCTGGGAGGGCACACGGGGCGAGAGTCAGGAGGCTCCCAGCAGTCCCGAGCATCCACAGGAAAATCTGGGCAACCGGCGGGAACTCGCACGCAGTCCACAGCAGTCGGTTGGCCAGAACAAACCCCTAGACTATAATAGTCCTGTTTGCAGGACTTCAGTTTGCAGAGGAAAGTAACGCTTGTGTTGCATAGCATCCCAAAGCCCGGGTCTGGCGCGCTTTCGCACCCGGATCACCTGAACTCAGCCCCCTTCCCCGCTCAACCCCCCGCTCAGTCCAGAGCAGCAACTCTGAGATGCCCGGGAGGCTTCGACTCGCTGGGCCCGAGAATTAACAGGCGCCCGGCGGGGCTGGCGGCGCTTGGGCTCTCTCGCGCCCTCTGGGCCTGGCTTGATGGCGCCGGGACAGCTGTCGGGGTTGTCGAAGGTCCGGGCAGGGAAGGGCATGGGTGCTAATACCCTGCAAAAGGGCACGCAGCGCGCAGTCGACCGACAGACAGGCACTGCAAACCTCCGAACAGACGGAGCGGAGCGGCTTGCTGCAGTTGGTCTCCGAGGTTTGCTATTTGTGAGAAAAGGGACGCTACGCCTCTGAAAGTAACCAACTCCGGGTCTGTTCCACGACCCTCCCCATTTCTCCCCGCCCCAACACACACGCGCGCGCGCGCACACACACACGCACACGCACACACCCCTTCAAAAGACAGAAAGAGACAGAAAGACTGAGGTTGTTGGGCTTTTCCCCCTTCCCTTCCCGGTCTTAGCTCCGGGGGTGCAAAGGAGCTGCGCTCCCCGCCCGCCGCCCCCCGACCCAGAGCCCGCGCGCGCCTCCGTCATCCCGCATTCCTCCAACAAGTTGCGGACGGGCTCGCTCCTCCCTTCGCTCACACCCCGAAATCCACCCTGCCCGGGTCTCCCGCGTCTCTTCCGCGGTCCCGGCACGCAAGGGGGGAGGGGCCGGGGCGCGGCCGGCTGGGGAGGGCGGGCCGGAGCCGCGGGGCCGGAGCCGCGGCGCCCCCACTCCGCCCGCGGCCGCCGCCCCCGGATTATTTATCCGCGCCGTCCCGCGCGCGCCCATTGGGCCGAGGCCCGGGTGTCCGCGCGAGTCCCGGCTCGCCATTGGCCCCGCACACGTGCGGCCTGGACTCACGTGCTTCCGGTTTGGAGGCAAAAAGTGTGCCTGGGTGATTTTTTTTTTAGGCGAGAGTTTGTGCAAAGATCCGAGCTGTCAGAGATTCGAAAAAAAAAAAAAAAAGAAAAAAAAAAAAGGCAGCCCCGGCGCTGGCGGAGACGCGCTCTCCCTGCAAAAAAAAAAAAAAAAAAAAAGCAAAGGCGATTAAAGGCGCTGCCAGCCTCGCGCTCTGGGCACAGCTGAGCGTGACACTCGGGGAAGTCAAACCCCTCACTACTACCTAGGAAGATGGCTAGACTCTAAAGACTGGTTTTTTTTTCCTTTAAGAAAAACAATTCCTGGAGCTTTTTCTTTTCTGTTTTTTTTTTTCCTTGCTTTCCTTTCTTTCCTTTTTCTCCCTTTCTTTTTTTTTTTTTAATCTTTTTTCTTTTTTTGGTCGTGGCTTAGACCCCATTTCAAACAAACCACCGAACCTGGCTGCGGCCGGGAGGAGGGAAACAAGAGAAACAAAGTAGCCAAGTGTCCGCTCCGTGTCTGGATGTCTGCGAACTAGAGCGAGGGCGCGGCGGCGGGATCCGGCAGCCGAGGGCGGCGAGCGGCCGGGCCGGGCGCCGGGGCCCTTTCCCCTTCCTCGCTCGGCCCCGCGCCCGCCCCGCGCCTCGGCCGGGGCTGCTCGGCCTCCTTCCTCCGCGCACCCCCACGGGCCGCTGGCAAAGTGGGGTGGGGAGCGCGGCGCGGGGGGCGGGGGCCGGCGCGGCGGCCGGGGCGGCGGGGCGGCCGAGCATGGAAGAGCAGCAGCAGCAGCCGGAGCCTAAGGGCCAGCGCGACCCGGGCCTCGGCGCGGCGGCGGCGGCGGCGGCGGCGGCGGCGGGGGGCGGCCTCGGCCTCGGCCTGAGCCCGGGCGCGGGCGGCGGCGGCGGCGACGGCGCGCCGGTGTCCCCGCCGCCCGCGCCGCCCTCGCCGCCCGCGGCGCCCGGCCCGCCGCCCCCGGCCCCGCACCCGCACCTCCCCCCGCGCCCCCCGCCCCCGCCGCCGCCGCCGCATCAGCACCTCGCGGCGCCCGCCCCCCAGCCGCCGCCCGCGGCCCAGCTGCACCGCACCACCAACTTCTTCATCGACAACATCCTGAGGCCGGACTTCGGCTGCAAGAAGGAGCCGCCGCCGCTGCTGGTGGCGGCGGTGGCCGGAGGAGGAGGAGGAGGAGGCGCAGGAGGAGGAGGAGGAGGAGGCGGCGGCCGGGTGGAGCGCGAGCGCGGCCAGACCGGCGCAGGGAGAGACCCCGTCCACCCGCTGGGCGCGCGGGCGCCCGGCGCCGCCTCGCTCCTCTGCGCCCCGGACGCGAACTGCGGCCCGCCCGACGGCTCCTCGCCCCCCGGGGCCGGCGGCGCGGCTGCGGCCAAGCCTGGGAACCCGGCGGCGGCGGCGGCGGCGGCGGCAGCGGCGGCGGCGGCGGCCGTGGCGGCGGCGGCGGCGGCGGCGGCGGCGAAGCCCGCGGACGGCGGCGGCGGCGGCGGCAGCGGCGGCGGCGTGGCGAGCCCGGGCGCGCAGGGTGCCAAGTTCCCGGAGCACGGCAACCCGGCCATCCTGCTGATGGGCTCCGCCAACGGCGGGCCCGTGGTCAAAACGGACTCGCAGCAGCCCCTGGTCTGGCCCGCCTGGGTCTACTGCACGCGCTACTCGGATCGTCCGTCCTCGGGTGAGTGCGCGCCCCGCGGTGCCCCTGGCTGTGCCCCTCGGGCCTCGGGACGTGCCCCACACTCAGCCGCTTGGCAGCGGGGAGTAAACCCGCTCTCTCCCCCTCTCTCTCTCTCTCTCTCTCTCTCTCTCTCTTCTTTCCCGATTCTTCTGTCTCTCGCTCGCCCGGGGCCCAGTCAAGGCCGAGCGTGCACCCATCCGTAGTCGGGAGCGCCCGCTTGGCCTCTGCGGCCGCTCCCCGGGAGGCTGCCACGGATGATACGGGAGATGCCAGCCTGGATCCTGGCGGGCTCTGAATTCCGAGTCCCTGGGACCTTCTTTGGTTTTACCTTTATCATGCTTAGAACTGCTAGAATCCTTCGTTTATTTTGGTTTTTGTTCTTAATTTTCTGGGAAAGGGACGTTTAGCAGGCGGAAGGTGGGCCTAGTAGTTCGTGCACCAGGATCTGAAATGCCTCCAGTCTCCGCTCTGAAATCGAGCGAGGCCGAGCTCAGAGAAATAAAGATCGCCTTGTGTTCTTGCTGACATTAGTACCATCCCCGCATTTTATGTAGAATTCATGCACACTGAGATAGATTTGAGGACACACAGCAAAAAGAGAGAGAGAGAGAGAGAAAGCGCGCGCAAAGGGCGCTCCCCAGGCCCGGGAGCAAAGGAAGTCTGACCCGCGTGCGTGGAATCAAGGGAAAGGCACCGGCCTGAAAGATGGGTGCCCAGATCTCTGGCCACTGGCTCTTCGGAGCTGTCAGATGGGTGGTGGGAGAGGAGAGAAGCCAAGGTAGACTCAGGCGGGAAGCTAGAGCACCAGAGAGCCCCGTTTCTCTGGACCGGCTCCCGGTGCTTCTCCTGCATTCTCCCCGCCCTGCCCCTGCCTTCTTTCACTTCTACCTTCCACACCTCTGCCAGTTCCATTTCTGCCATTCCCAGGGCCCCTTTTTCTCCCTCCATCCCTGGACTTTCCTGCAGCCCTTTGCCTGGGGGAGCGTGTCTCTCTCGCGCTTAGAGAAGGCAAGGCTGAGACCAGCTTGGGGTCACAACCACTAGGCCCCGGGAAATGAGGCCGAGGCCTGTGGGGGTCCCCAGCCAAGAGCGCTTTGGAGGCCAATGGGGAGCGAGAGGATGGCATCAGGGGCGCTGGCCTACTGATGGGATCCCGGCACCCGGGGTAGGGCAGGAGGCCGGGCACCGCAGAGCCAGGAGCCACTTCTTACCCGCGCTGGCCTCCCCGCCGCTGCTGCCCGCCAGATCGATGCGCCCTATCAGCCCCCACCATCTCGAGCCCGTTATTGACACGTCGGGCTCCTTGAACCTCCGAAAAGCTGCTTTGATTGACTCGCCTGATGGATAGAGTGATTGAGCTGTCAGGCCATGCGATCGGGCTGGCTGGGGAGGCTACGATTTTATTACAAGTGTCCGTGCCTCTGCACACACAACAACAATCCGACAGCGTCGGGTCCCGGGCGCTGTAGCCCAGTCTTTCCGGAGAAGTGCGGGGGTTTCCTGTGCTGTATGGAGTGTGTGTATGTGTGTGTGGGGGGTGGGGTGGGGTGGGGTTCCTGCACACCCAGCTCACTGCCAATCCAGACTTTCTGCCTCCCAGCTTGGCCTCCCAGCCCTTCTGCACCTTACTCCAGTGTGGCCTTGGCTTTGTTCTTGCTTTTTTTCTATCCCCCTTCCCCCACCCCGTCCCCCCCCAGGAACTAGTTCCTCTCCTGTCCTGGCAGTTCTTTCGGGGAGAGGAATCTCCACCCAAACTGAGTGTCCAAACTGGCAGGTATGCCACAGGAGAGCCGGTGAACCCCAAGCAAACCCCGCTGTTCAACTGACCCTTTCACTGCTAGGCTCAGAGATACCAACGGAGATCCCTCTTTTTCGATCGTGTTAGACACGAGCAGGCCTGACAGGGACTTCACTTGGCGTAGTCAGCTCCTGTTAGTAAGACCAGGCCCAGCAAGTGTGTGTCAGGAGACTCTGAGAGGGAGTGCCGGAAGACCGCCAGAGGTGTAGCCTTTCCAGGCGGCCTCCCATCTCTCTCCCCGTCCTCTCCCTGGCCTGGGCCGGCTAGCAGCCTTCTCCCCACACTCTGTTCTAGAGATACTGACTTCACTTCCCCAGGAAGGGCTTCCTGTGGCGTCTTTCTTTCCCAGTGTGAGGGACAGAACTCCCGTATTTGCAGAGATGGCCCTCTACATCTGATTCCGATCCTTTTGACCTACACTCATGAGCATGGACATTGTCCGCTTTGCAAATGCTGCAGATGAGCTGGGAAAGCAAGACGTGGCAGGGTTTTGTTAGATCATAGTTTTCTGCCCTGAAATCACCACTGCCGGGGTGAGTGCAGAGGGAGGGTGGAGAGGACCCTCTTTTTTGATTTGTGCCCTCTAAGGGACCAGGTAGAGAGACCCCTGGGGTCGGGCCGTGTTGGTAAAGCGAGCAGGTTCATCGAAGGTGGAGGTCAGCGATGCACCGGGACCCTAGAAAGAGCTCCCTTTGCACCCAAGAGGAAGAAGAGGGAGAGAGAGAGCAGAAATCGGACTGCACGGGAGGCAGGCAAACCCCCCGGTTCGTAGCTACTAGCAGATGGGGTCTGATTGTAGGCTTCTTTCTGAAAGGGGAAGGGAGAACGCATTAACAGGCTGGGGATCCCCCCCCAGGGCAATGTTTTTCCTGTCCCAGTCAGGAACCTCTTTTTATTCCAAGGCTGTGAGACCAGCAGAGGCCCCTGACCTTCAGGTCTGGGCAGGGCCCGGTGTGCTCCAAATATCGCTTCCTCTCCTACATGAGCCTGTCAAACGATTCCCGCGGGGGTGAATTGGGGTCCAGGCGAGCACACACAACCTCGGCCAGTTTTTCCCCTCCGGCCCTGACCCTTCTGCTCGCGGAGAAGGACGCCAGGAGGAGACCCGAGCAGGGAGCAGCGGGAGAGCGAGGGGCTAGCCAGCGAACGGGAGCCCCCAGGGGCGGGGGCCGCAGCAGCAGGGCCTCTGCCAGCGTCCGTCCGTCCGTCCGTCCGTCCGGGCAGCTCGGGGCGCGCCCGGCGGCTCTGCAGTTCTCCGGGCTCTCGGCTCGGCCGTCCTCACGACTTCCTCTGCCCTTCTTCTCCCCATCCCCTCCCACCCCACCCCTGCCCTCCGTCCCCACCCACCCCGCCCACCACCACCCCCCGGCCCCGCTCCGCCGCTGCAGGTCCGCGCACCAGGAAGCTGAAGAAGAAGAAGAACGAGAAGGAGGACAAGCGGCCGCGGACGGCGTTCACCGCCGAGCAGCTGCAGAGACTCAAGGCGGAGTTCCAGGCGAACCGCTACATCACGGAGCAGCGGCGGCAGACCCTGGCCCAGGAGCTCAGCCTCAACGAGTCCCAGATCAAGATCTGGTTCCAGAACAAGCGCGCCAAGATCAAGAAGGCCACGGGCATCAAGAACGGCCTGGCGCTGCACCTCATGGCGCAGGGACTGTACAACCACTCCACCACCACGGTGCAGGACAAAGACGAGAGCGAGTAGCCGCCGCCGCCGCCCGGCCTTGCTCCGGGTCCGCGCCCGCGCCCGCGCCCGCGCCCGCGCCCTCCCCTGGCACCGCCGCCGCCGCCGCGCGCCTCGCCGGCCCCGCGCCCTCGCAGAGACCCGGACGCGCCGGGGCGGAGGAGGAGGAGGATGAGGACGAGGACGAGGACCAGGACCAGGAGGACGAGGAGGAGGAGGACGAGGAGGAGGTGGGAGGGAGCCACGGGAAGATAAGCGAGACAACGAGTTGCTCAGATTGGAGCGTCGCTTTCGAACGAAACGTTGGTTTATTTGTGGTTTTTTGTTTTTTTTCTTTTTTTAAACAAAAAAGGGAGAAAGAACTCGGACAGGTGCTATCGAAAAATAAGATCTATTCTCTATTCACAGTATAAGGGACGAAACTGCGAACTCCTTTAAAGCTCTATCTAGCCAAACCGCTTACGACCTTGTATATATTTAATTTCAGGTAAGGAGAAAAAAAAAAAGAAATATGTGTAGCGATCTCTATTTGCTGGACTTTTTATTAATCGCCCTTATTGTTATTATTATTGTTATAATATTATAATTATTATAATTATTTTATCCCCCACCTCCGCCTCGCCCTCTCCGGCCCCCCGTTTCGTTTCCGTTGCTTTATTTCTGCTCCTCACACACCCCAAGGCCCTTCTGAACGTCCTCGCTTCTCTCGGGTGCCTCCCGCCCCCCGCATCGCTGGCCCTCGGTTCTCTGGGACTTTTCTTTGTGTGCGTGAGAGTGTGTCCCCTCGCGTGTCCGCCCTCCTCCTTCCCGCCACCCCACACCCCCCACTCCCACCCGTTTTCTGTCGGTCTGTCTGTCCTGCACCCCCACCTTTCGTGGTGTTTTTTTTTTTCGGAGAAAAATTGTTGAGAAATACGACCCCACAGACTGCGAGACTGAACCGCCGCTACAAGCCAAAGATTTTATTATGTTCAGAAACCTGTAGTCTGAAAATAAAGTGTACACTGTGCTCACGAGCCGCGGGCGGCCTTCCTCATTGCAGGGACTCGGGAAGGGGCGCGCTCAGGGCGCACACGGGGACCCCTTGCAGAGCCCCAGGGCGGCCCGACCGGGCCCTGAGATTCCCCCCCCCTGCGTCCCACACCCCTCCAAGGATCCAACGGACTAGGGAGAGGAGCGGTGGGAGAGGAGAGGCGGCCCGGATTCAGGGGCTGGAGGGGCGGGCGCATCGCGTTCAAAGGACCCCTCAAGGCCTGAAGCTCCACTTTGGGAATGCGGGGCCACCGGGCCCGACCGACCGGCATCTGGCCAGGCCTGACTGCGGCCTCCTCTGGTTCACCTGCTCCTCCCTCCAGAGGGTTCCTTTCTTCCTCTCTTCCCTCGCCCGGGACTTTCCACATCTCTTCTAGAAGCAAAAGGCCTTCTCCAGCAAGCAGAGCTGATGGTTGCCTCTGATTCCGGGGGCCGGGCTGGGCAGGGCGATGTGCTTAGGGCGATGTGCTCCCTGCCCAGCTTGTTGAGGCCTGGACCATCCCGCCTGCCCTTTACAAAGGTGACCAGTGAAGCCCTAGGTCAAGAGCAGCGGTTCGAGCCTGGAGGGGCCCCAGCTCCCTCCCTGCCTAGTCTGAGGAGCGGCTGAGCTGGTGCTGGCAAACTAGAGACCAGGGCGCTGTTCGGTCCATCACTGGTGGGATCTCTGTGGGCCCCCAACCACCTCCGTGACACTGGCCTGCCTCCACCCCAGTGCCAGACCTAGGTAGGGGCCCTGTCAGAATCCCCACAAAACCTGACTTGTTTTCTGACCCAAGAGGGAACCCCAGCCCCCACCTCCACATCTTCTGCCCTCAGGACCTCCAGCCATCTGGATTTCCCAGAGGAAATGTCTAGACTCTTTCCTCTGGCAGGGTCTCATTCCTGGGCAGGTTCTGGGTGCCCCCACATTCAGAGATGTGGAGGAAAAAGGGGCAGCTCCTCCTCCCAGGGATCTTCTGTCTTTTGTCTGGGATTTTTGACATGGGGAACGGTTCCCCTCATCTGCAGTGTGTGTGCCTGCACCTGTATCTGCGTGGCTACCTATGTGTGTGTGGGGGGGGTTGGGGGGTGGGGGGTTGGCAGGCATGTGCCTAAGTGAGCCCATGCAATTCTAGGGCCTCTGCTTCCCCACCAGCTTCCAGCACAGCCCTGCACAGCCTGGCTTGAGTCACTGGGCGTTGCTCTTTGTAATTCGCAGCACACTTGGATATTTGTGAGTTCACTGTGTGTTTGTGTGTGTGCTCAAACACACAAGCATGTTCCTTTGTGTCTGTTCACCAGTAAAGCTGCAGGTATGTCTGTGGCCACGGGTGACTCTGTTTCTGGGCCTGTCCCTGGCATCTTTCTTGGTTTTGCAGGATTGATTTTGTGAGAAGTGAGAGCAGCCACTCGGTCTGCACCACCAGCCTCTTCTCACGTCCCTTTATTTATTTATTTATTTATTTATTTATTGGTCCTTGAAAATTTCTCTCTGATTTGGGCCATTATATGGAAAAGTGGCCGTGTTCAGGTTTCAGGGACAGGAATCCAGGGGGCCTTTTGAGTTCAAAGATATCAGGGAAGAGGTTTGGACTTTGATGGCCTGAAGTCGAGTATGCATTTGCCATTATCATGAATTCTTAACTGTGTGGTAGTAAATCTCTTCTGTCTACCCCCTCTCACCTTCTTGGGCATGTGGAATAACCACAGCACATACTAGATGATCTCCTAATTCTTTTCTGAGTAGGTGGAAGTTGAGAGATGGGTCCTTTTGGGGGATGGCTGAAGCAAGTTCTTTTCTCATGATAGAAAATACCTGCTTGGCTTCCCTTGGCAGGGGAGGAGGGCATGGAATCTTCAAGCTTTTGAAGCTTTCTAGGTCTTGAGGTTAGAGGTCCTAAGACCTGGGACCCAGGTTATTTTTTCTGTAACACAGCTCAGAACATCAAGAAGAATTCCTGCTCCATTGCCAGATATAATATGGGAATTTGAGGGAGAATTTTACCTCTTTAAGCACCTAGAAATTCTCCTTTATCCCTCTTGCCTCACTGTTCTCCCTTTGGGTTCCTAAGTGCTTCCTGCCCACACACCACAGACAGGGGCAGGGGCCAATGCAAGCATCGACATCAGGGACCATCCTGTTCCTGAAGATTCTCCTTTATCTCTTCCAGGCTATCAAATCCAAGAACTCTCCCTCTTGCCCCTGGGGTGAAGGAGGCTGGTTAGTCCTCTCCAGGGTGGTAATAGTATAGTGTAGATGCGGCATTGTTATGTAATTTGATTTCTTGCCCATTATTTCTTTTTACCATCCAATTACTATGGCCCAAAAGAATCTTCCTCATTTTCAGTGGAGACACTGAAGCATTGAGGATGTAAACCTTTGGTCCATGCCTCCTGTGGCATTTACTTCCGTATAACTGCCTTTACCCCAGGAATCAGGTCATGGCTCCACCCCCAGATCTCATCCTGATCATGTTCCCATCTATTCTCCAGCCCTTCTCCCTATTTTCCATCTAACTGATTGGGATAGGACTCTGTTTACACCCGTCTTTTGCACTTCCTCTAAAAAAAGAAAGTAATAATGATCATAAACAGGCATTGATTTCTCTGATTTATGGGGCTGGCTTAGTGAGCCACTTGTATATTAAAGTCTAGGACTGCATTGAAATAAATACTGGAGTGTGTGTCCCAACTTCCTTATTTTCTACCTTTTTTTCCTTTTTTTTTTTTAAAGATTGGATTGAACCATAAACTTAAATCTTCCTTAGCCCAAGAGGAAATACACACTAGCCAAGTCTAAACAGTATTGATCCCTGGCTCTTTCTTGGGGCAAAGGTCTCTTTCCTTGCAGAAATTCTCTTTCCTTCAGTAGGGTCATGGGGAGGTTGTTGCAGGTGTGGGTGGAGTGAGGAGGGGCTATTTAGGTGCATCAGACTGTGAAATACAAGCTTAATGGTTATAAGTGAGTTGTGTGGGCATTTGTGTAGGGTGCTCTTAGGTTCTATTTAGGCTTGAGAGTTGGAGGTCTGGTTTGCGTGTGGGTGTAGGCGTTTGTATGGGTACTGAAAGTGACTACTTGGTGTTTGTGGGTGTTAGTGGTAGGTTCTCTGGCCCCCTAGATTTGGGCTGCTCACTGCATTGAGAGAATGTGCCCTGCCCTTTGCGTGTCTCTTACCTCCAACCCTGACACGTGGCAGAATTTCCAGAAATGATATCACCAGGGGGCCCACTGTGCCTTGGTCCCCCTTTTCCTGCAGGAGCAATATGGTGAACTGACTGACTCCTACAGGCCAAGGCCAGCATCTGACACGTTTGAATCTGACGCCTTGTCCTGGATGGGGGTGTCTGCTCTGCTTCTCTGGGATGATCATATCTTCCAACCTACCTTTTCTGTTTTGTGTTGGAGAAAAAGCATTTCTTGGACAATTTCCTGCTTCAGCTGTGAAAGAGCACTCACCTCTCTCTCACTATTCCCTACTCTCACCCCTCCTCCTCACACACACACACACACACACACACACACACACATATGCTCTGCTGGGTAAGACTAGAAGCAGGTGGGAAGAAGTCTCACCCTCTAGTTTTGCTGTGTAGCCTATGGGTTCATTTAATCTGTCTCACCAGGGGTTCAAGTTGGCCCTGGGGGGTATGTGGCAGAGTGGCCCCATCCTCCTCACCTATGCCAGAGAGTTTAGCTTCCATCTCTCCACTTTGAACTCAGGAAACAAGGTTAGCCTTGGTGGCAACTTGTTGAAAAGGGCAGGGCAGGGGACTCCTCCAATCTCTACTCACCCCCAAATACCTTGGGTCATTTCTAATGCAAACTCACTATTAGAAGTGAATCTCTGAGGTTCTTGCATGGTATGGCTTCATTTCACAGGACAAAGTGCCTCATTCAGAAGCACTCCGCAAGCAAGAGGCACAGCCCATGGGTTTCCTGAGTCCAGTGCCCTTCTCACAGTTCCAATGAAAAGGTGGCATCAACATACACGTGCTCTCAGCACAAATGTCCACATGTTTATATACACAAACACATGTGTGTCTACACACTCACACATAAA